TATATATATATATATATATATATATATATAAACTCCCTCTGAACCCCAAACCCTCCCCCGTTTCCTCTCTCTAAACCCTACCCCCGCTCCCTCCTCCCATCTAGCCCCTAAACCCTAAACCCTAGCCCCTAAACCCTAAACCCTAAACCCTAAACCCTCACAGGTCCTTGATGTGTGCATGCAGCGCCTTTGTCTCTGAGCGCAGCCTCTCGACGTCCCGCAGCAGCCCCGCGTTGCTGCGCAGCAGCGCCACGCTCTCCTCCTCAGCAGCAGCTCTGCGCACGCAAACCCTAAACCCTAAACCCTAAACCCTAAACCCTAGAGACCCTATAGACTGTATAAACCCTAAACCCTGAATTTTATATGTTATATGTTTAATGTTTAAACACATGTAAACACTAAACCCTACAACAAATGCTGCAACCTCACCAAACCCTAAACCCTAAACCCTAAACCCTAAACCCTAAACCCTAACCTTGTGGTTTTGAGTTCTGTTCGTGTTTCGGTGAGGTCTTTCTCTAGCTCTAGGATTTGCTGCTGCTGCTGCTGCTGCTGCTTCTCTGCTCGCTGCAGCTGCTGCATGTCAGCAGCACGAGCATCGACTTCTCTTCTATATCTTTCTTCTGCTGCTGCTGCTGCTTTCTTTTCTCTCTCTACCTCCCCCTCAAGGTGCTGCAGCTGCTGTCGTAGGTTGTCTGTTGTTGCTGCTGCTGCTGCTGCATTTGCTGCTGCGTCTTGCTGCTGCTGCTGCTGCTCCTTTAAGGCCGTTATGGTCGCCTCCAGCTGCCCTATCTGCAGTGTCTGTACACCCCACACATACCAGCAGCAGCAGCAGCAGCAGCAATAGCAGCAGCAGCACCAATACCAGCAGCAGCAGCAGCAGCAGCAATAGCAGCAGCAGCAGCACCAATAGCAGCCGTAGCAACAGCAGCAACAGTGATGCTGCACGAGCAGCAGGAGATAGACGTAGGGCTAAGGCAACAGCAGCAGCAGCAGCTGCAGCAGCAACAGCAGCAGCAGCAGCTGTAGCAGCCACACGGCCGCAGCAGCAACAGCAGCAGCAGCAGCAGAAACAGCAGCAGCAGCAGCAGGTATTTTACCTTATCGTTGATGGTGGAATCCATTTGCTGCTGCTTGTCTTCGAGCTTGGTGATATGCTCTGCTTTCTCCCGCAGCTGCTGCTGCAGCTGCTGCTGCTGCTCGTTGCTGCGCTGCTGCTGCTGCTGCGCCTCCACAGCTGCTTGCTGCCAGTGCTGCTTCAGGGCCTTGCAGCTCTCGAGTTCGTCTTTGAGCTGCTGCAGCTGCTGCAGCAGCTGCTGCTGCTGCTGCTGCTGACTCGCCGATGACTCTGCTGCTGCTGCTGCAGTGTCTGCTGCAGCACCAGCAGCAGCAGCAGCAGCGGGTTGCCCAGCAGCAGCAGCAGCCCCGGTCAAAGGACGGCCGGTGC